GAAATCCGCCCCCCCCTTCCACTGCGCGTGTTAACAAAAGCAATGTTAAGCATCGCATCTCGATTCACCCTTGTTTTGTGCCCTGTCTTGTTACCGACCGTTTTAGTTGTAAAGTTTGTTGTATTATCTATCATTGACACCACACCTTCAGTACATCTGCATTACGCTTATTACATAAAATTCAAGGCATAAGAGGTAATGCTCATGACTGCATTTACGTAATTAGAATAAAAATAAGCCTCGAGCAGCAGAAATATGAATCGTCCATGAAATGCTTTCGTGAGCATTGCATGGCCTAGAGGAAGCCCTATATCAAGCTAAATATATGATATGTCACCAATGACAGTCCTTATCAGAGAAAACGTCTCTAAGTCGTCCGAATTAGCGTCACATTTAGTGACGGCTGCTTCTTGCGCGTGACACGCCTTGTCCATGCATTGCATCTTACTGCCACGCATTATAGTTATCCGGATAAACGCCGGAAGGAACTCATTACGTTAATGAGAGACATGCATGTCGCTAACCATTCCGAGGCGGAAAGAGTGGGAGGACTCCTGCCGTGACCATGAAGTACACTGCGGAGAGGGAGAGAGAGAGAGAGAGAGAGAGAGAGAGAGAGAGAGAGAGAGAGAGAGAGAGAGAGAGAGAGAGAGAGAGTGAGAGAGAGAGAGAGAGCGAGAGACAGAGACAGAGACAGAGAAGAGACAGAGAGATAGAGAGACAGAGAGACAAAGAGACAGAGAGACAGAGAGACAGAGAGACAGAGAGGCAGAGAGATAGAGAGACAGAGAGACAGAGAGACAGAGAAACAGAGAGACAGAGACAGACAGACAGACAGACAGACAGATAGACAGAGACAGAGACATATGATTTTCCTATTACTCACCTTGGGTTACTTGAAAGGTAATTTGGAATTATTTAGCCTATTTATAGAAAGTAAATGCGTACATGTGCATTCAGTCATGCACAAAGCATGTCAGTGCGTAGCTGTGGGTTAAAAATGATATAACATAGGAGCGTGGTACCTTTATTTTCGTACAGAGCAGCTATGAGCTATGGAAAACTATATGAAGTAGTTTGGATTCAGGCCATACGAGTGATTAACTCGAAATCAGTATTTCACCTGAGCTTCGAAGGTTAGATACATGCTTTTGAATTTCTTATTTCGATGAAAAAAAAGACTTTGTCTCATGTATATGGAGCAGCACACTAATTTTTAATGCAAAGCCCATGCCAAATTAGGTGAGAAACGCAAAGAGGATTTGCTTCAACCTCATCACCCGTCACCCAATTAGCCTAACAAATCAGCCTTCTGCTAACTCGGGCTCGAGTTGACGCCACGCAGCCACTGCGGAGCCGTCAAGCATCAGTAATTTTACCATCACGATAATTTGAGCGGCATCGATCATTTGAAACCCTCTTCCGCTAATCAGTCCTCTCCAATCAGCATTTTTCGCTGAAAATGATGTGGGCAGTGTCAGCCGCACCACATATCTTGGCCCACTCGAACTCACCGGTCATGTCATTTGTGTTAACGAGCCAACAGAGACGGCCCGGGCGGGGAGGCAATCACGGACCCCACCAGCGGACCCTACTAGCCACTCTAATCAGATTACTTCGCACTGGGCGCCGGCCGGCGGACATTTAGCCGGTGCGCGGCCGGTCCGGCAGCGATCGCGACTGAATCTAGTTTGCATGAGGCTGTTAACGAACAGGCTGCCGGCTGCGACATAATAGTCGACAGGCTGTGTGTCGAGCGGATGGTAGAGAGAGGCCTCACGAGCGGCCTCGGCCTCTCGTGAGGCCTCGGCCTCACGAGAGCAGGCCGAGAGCAGGCCGTGAGCAAGATTGCCCGACAGGAGACAGAGAGAGAGAGAGAGAGAGAGAGAGAGAGAGAGAGAGAGAGAGAGAGAGAGAGAGAGAGAGAGAGAGAGAGAGAGAGAGAGAGAGAGAGAGAGAGAGAGGAGGGAAAAAAAACTAAAAAAACATAAATGTCAGACAATGCATGGATCCGAGTGATGGATCTGTGATCTCAATGGATCTCGGAGCAAACTGCAAGCTAGGATCTATGATCCCACCGGATCCTGCGCGAAAAAAATATCCTGGATCTACAATCTCATGGGATCTGATGACAAAACAAGAACGTGGATCTATGATATGAGTGGATACCGCCATGCACAACATTTGAAACTAGGTTTCCAAAAAATAAATGAGGATCTATTTTCTCAATGGATCTCAAACAAAAATTTAGACCTAAATCTATAATCCTTACGGATCTCCCGATAAAATAAATGGTTGGATGTATGATCCCTTGCGATCAGAGACCAGGATCCGTAGGATCAGATCCCAAATCCATTTTCCCGGATCCATGCACATGTCTGATAAATGCAGGGAGGCTGGAGCCTTATAAACAGACAAATAAGCACATGAAGACACCAATAGATACAGACACAGACAGGCAGGCACAAAAAACCTACAATAAGTGCTAAGCAAGCGGAGGCAGACAGGTGAAAAGCACATACAGGGTGATCGAAAAAAAGTGTCACCCCTAATTTAAAAGCCATATAACTCGCGATTGGTTGGTCGTACGACTTTGCGCCAGGCAGCATTGGAAAGAGCATACAATTTCCTTTCGAATTGATGTAAATATGCATGGTTTATGCCGCAAACGAAGATGTAGCTATTCAAAAAGTATGTTAAGGACGCAATTTGGCGTGTTCAAAAGCGTGGCCTCCAAAAAGTCCTGACCTAAAACCCGATGGACTTTTTCGTATGGGGAGAACTGCAGAGGCTCGTGTACCGCGGCGTGAAGATCCGTGATCTAGACCACCTGAGAGAGCAGCTGCAGGTGTGTTGGGCTAAGATCTCCCAGCGTCAGGTGATAAAGGCGATCGAGGCCTTCCCAAAACGCCTGGAGGCGTGCATCGCCTGCGGTGGCGGTCAGTTCGAGCACCGACTCGACTTCGAGTGAAGACGAGTCTAAGGTCAGCTGAGAAACAATCTGCAGTGAACAACATACACTCCATGTGTAATGTGTAAGGTGTATGTCATGTTGAGTTACGATACTCATTGTTCTCGTTCAGCGGTGTCCGATCCCGTTCGGTGAATTTCGTTTCACGCGAAAGCCGCACATTGACTGGTTTTTGAGCCCATGGGGACATGATTTGGAATAGAAAACAATCATGAATACATTCAATTGAAAAGAAATTGCCTGCTCTTTCCGATGCTGCCTGGCGCGAAGTAATCCGACCTACCAGTCGCGAGTTATGTAGATTTTAAGTTAGGGGTGACACTTTTTTTCGATCACCCTGTATATTGCTTGCATGTACTGTTTTGGCCTTTATAATTGAATAGCGCCACGTTCCATTGCGAACCCGATGTCTGACGCCCCCGGAAGCCTGCAGAGCTTGTGATTAATGTGCATAGTACATTCTCAGCATGATCTACCTATCGATTATTGGCAGCTGTTAAAGATTGGGTAATCATGGAATCGGAAGGCTAGAAATCTTAGTGAGTGGCGTTTCCGACAGTGCCCTGAAATATCAATGGTGAGCATTAGATCTATCAGTTCTATTTCAAGCTTTGATGTCTGCTGTTATAAACATATCTAAAAAAGAAGAAATAGTTTAGAATCGGTTATTATTATAATCCATACGGCCATGGGCTACTGCTGCATGTTCCTGACAATCATTGGCGCATGCCAACCGATCCTGTTTTCGCAATGCATATTCATCACTAGCGGCAAGGAGCGCGTGGCCGGCGAATGAGTGGCGGCAGGGCGCAGATCAATAGGCGAACACCTCTGAATGACCCCTGCAGGCACGGTCACACTGTGTCTAGGTCGCCCCCCCCCGCCCCCGAGTCGGTCCGTGGGGGGAGCCGGTAGCGACGCTTACACGTGACGGGCGCAGGTCACGCCAGCCATCCAATACAGCGAGTAGCGATCGAGCCTGACTGCCTCCCGAGGCGAACACAGGGGGCTGAAGGCTGCTGGATTATTAATTTCATCAGAAAGTGTGCAATTATTCGCGGTAAGTAACCAGTGAAATTCTTTCAGTTGACGCCAAGTGACACAATAGATCTAAAAGAAGTAATATCAGCTAATATTCCGCAGGAACTGCATCACTCCCTTCCCTGGCAACTTGAAAGCCTTCGCTTGCCCGTCCTACCCAAGAAGATCATTACCACTCGTTTCACTACCACCTTCTAGCAGTATATATGATCCCGCCCCAGTCTGACCTTTAGTTCGCACCCATAGCCGCTCATGCCTGTCCATTTCCGGCGACCATTATCCTTTTCCTACCACTCGACACTACAACTGTGGAGCCTTATAGGGTCGGGGCTGGGAGACGTCACAGCCTGGGCCGGGAGGGGGCGGGCCAGGACGATTCCGGACGCTATTTCAATCACCTGACCGCGCCACTGACCAGCCGGACGATTTATGGGAAATCGAACCTCAGTGACGGGCGTGGCCGTCTCTGCGGTTATGGGCGCCGCCCCACCATCAAACCGGCCCAATCATTTGCTATCGATGAAAACGCCCGGTTTATGATGCGAGCGATTTCTAATTGAAATCAGTGCTACGTCGGGTGGCATGCATGTCGAAAAACTATTTAATGTTATGTGTACGATGAGGTGATCAGTATTAGTGAAAGCCTTCCTCTTTTGAACTATGGGGTTTCTAGCCAGATCAAAGACCATCTGCTTGACGTAATATGGCATCTTTTACTATGGCGGCAAATGAGAGACCCGTTAAGAAAATATTCATATCCGAAAGTAGGAATGGTGATCTCGTATGATATAGCTAGACGTGAAAGCCTGTTATTTTTCCGATTAATAAATTGCCACAGAAATACTGTGGGCTTTTCTGTCATTATTTCAGCCACATAGCCCCATGAAGCACAAGTCCATCGTTCCCGGCAGCACCCATCTGAGACGCAGCCCATCGACCCCAACATCAGACTGGCGCCAGCAGTAAGCGCCAGTGACGGATGACTTACCGATGACGCCGAGGCGGACGTCGCCAGTGACGGTCGGTATCCGCCGGAAGTCGATTCGGCACCGGAAGCGGCCCTGGTCGGCGGGCCGCACGTCGTGCAGGATCAGCTGGTTCTCTTCGGGTCGGTAGGTAGCGCGCGCCTCCCCGAGCACGCCGTGGTCCGACCAGTGCAGTGGGGGCCGGCCGTCCCGGCTGTCGAAACTGGAACATGGAGGGAGGGTCAGTGGTTAGAGAGAGGGAGAGAGAGATAGAGGGAGAGAGAGAGTGAGAGAGAAAGAGAGGGGAGGAGGGAGGGAGGGGGAGAGGGGGAGAGAGAGAGAGAGAGAGAGAGAGAGAGAGAGAGAGAGAGAGAGAGAGAGAGAGAGAGAGAGAGAGAGAGAGAAAGGTAGGAAGAGGGAGAGAGCGAAATCCGATCATATATTTCTTTACAACAGCAGACCAATGCTCAATTTAAAGTGTTTTACCGCATTCCGGACGGGCCTCCAGGCTCTGTAAACACGCGTAACAAGGCGAATTCGAAAGTCCGAAGCTCAATCCTGATTGAAATTCACAGCGGCATTCAAAACCAGATGGCAAACTACTTCGCCGTTCTGGGAAGAAAACACGGCACTCAGATGAACTTCGGTCGAGTAAGGAGCACGCCAAAGTTTGAATTAGATGTTTCCTGACTGGCCCTCCTCTTTGTACGTCTTTGAATAACAAGCTCAGTTAAAATGGCCGGGCTGGCTCGGGGAACTTTGGTTTACGATATCACAGCGCTTTTTGCGTCTCAATTGGCGTAGTGTATGGGCGTGTAACGTAATACCTACCCGCGGGCTACGGCCTCCGCTGAACTTCAGTTGCCCGTCTGCTATCGACTCGGCCAGGTTTATGGACCAGGCGCGGGCTACGGGATTTGGTAACTCTATGACGTCATTTCAGCATTTCAGAGGATGCTGGACGCTCGATTCCATGAAAAGGCTTTGAATTACCGACGAGAGACATGCCAGTCGACCTCGAGCCATTGAGTTGGAGTGATGCCAGCAGCTGAGCTTCCAATGAGCTTGGTCGGGCAAAACTTGTACCGCGCTCAGCGTTCACCAGCACGTGAGATATTGTGCTTTGAACGAGGCCAGAGCTATGGCCGGCCTTGCACAGCCTCGTTTAGTGCTGTCACCTCTTGCGAAGCCCCGTGTAGTGTCAGCTGTAAGCTTTAGCGAAACATCTGGGGCTTCACTGGTGAGCTTCGTCGTCGCGCCGTGCAACGACAAGGAGAACAACATTACAGTGAACGGTTGCCTTGCGTGCATTTGATCACAAAGATATCGGGTAGGCAGATAACTTGAACTTATCAAGCTCAAGATAGCATATCTCGGTAAGTCTATACACACTCAACACAAATAGAAACGATACCACTTTTAGGTGAAAGGTATTCGTGACAAGCATAAGAGACTGATTGCACATAAGTTTGCCAGCCTTTCGCAGCTATGAGTTTCAAAACGTTCCCTTATGCTGACCGTGACTCACATATTATTGCACCATTTACACCTGCACTTAACAACACATGCTGGCTTAGTTCTATTATTCAAAATCAGCCAAGCATGACCCGGCTGCATGCGACAATTGTGCTGCAAGACAGAATATGTGATTTCGTTGAAGGCTAAGGCAGAGCTGGGCTCATTTTCTCTAAATTTTACGGAGCAGTACACTTACAGTATAATAGTAGGGATAAGCCACCCAATATTTAAGTGGTTAAGACCATACCGACGCGTTGGACTTTACCATATGCTGCGTGAGCACTGGCTTAAATGAAGTTACCACCGATAAACGAGTATTGTCAACACTTGTCTAATAAGTGGGGTTCCTCGTTTTCACGAACTTCTGAACCTCCCGAAGCAATAAACAACCATTCTGGCAAACAGCGATAACTACTAGGATTAGTTACTGGCACTTCATCACTCCACGTTAATGACGAGATAGTAATGAATAAACATCAATAACAGCATGACAACCGCTCTTGTGTTGTAGCGACATGCACGTGCGCCGCCCGAAAGGAGCCCGGGTCACGCAAAACATGCATCGAGGATCCCACGTCCTTTCGTCATCATAGCTTGCATAACCAGATACGTTTTCTTTATAGTACTTGGTCATCGTTTTGGATATTTTGAGTCTTTGACGCTGTTTTGACTGAGAGTCTTTAAATGCATGCTATGACCTATGAATGAATTATGCATGGACAGATGGATAGATAAACAAGTAGACGGGTGGATAGATAGACACTGATGGCTTGACGGGCATATGGGCGGACGGACGGACGGACGGATGGACGGACGTACGGACGGATGGGCTGATGGAAGGGAAGAATAAATGGACGAATTAAGAGTTAATCCAACTTCCACCCCCCCCCCCCCTTGTGCTGCACAATGTACATACTACAACGAAACATCTACAGCGACTCATGGGCCCCTCTTTCGATGCCATCATTCGATTCACACAATCCCGTTGCACCTGCTTATCATTCAGCCGCCACACTGTATATATACATATATATATATATATATATATATATATATATATATATATATATATATATATATATATATATATATATATATATATATATATATATATATATATATATATATATATATATATACACATGTGAGCGCCACCCACACGTTTACCGCCATACTTCTGTGCCACTCATAGGTATCTATCTGTATTCTTATGTCATCCATACCTGTATATCGGCGTCTGCATGTCGTCCTTGTACCAGATGACAAGTGACACCGAGGCTCTCTGTCGGTCTGAGAGCTGAGGACAGGGCAGGCGTGCCCGCTGGCCAGCAACTACCGTCACCTCAGGCAGACCTGCCAGAGAGAGGTGGCATAGTCACAGAGCGGCGCAGGTCGGGGTCGGGTTAGAGAGAGAGAGAGAGAGAGAGAGAGAGAGAGAGAGAGAGAGAGAGAGAGAGAGAGAGAGAGAGAGAGAGAGAGAGAGAGAGAGAGAGAGAGAGAGAGAGAGAGAGAGAGAGAGAGAGAGAGAGAGAGAGAGAGAGGGAGAGGTAGAAGCCATATACACAGGTCATGGGAGGCAGTCACACACAGTTTGTAAGCTAGTTGATGTGTGTAATTACAAAACTGGTATAGACGATAGAATACGAGTGTCTACGACATAGTGTTCATCGGTAGTTGGCTAGTTCGTACATGCATGTAATTACACCCCTGCATTAGGTATATAGCATTCACATATTCGACGCTTCATGGTCATTTTCTAGCCTGGTGCTGCAGCAGCAGTATCGGGTTCTTTGACGTCACCTTGGAGAAATTGCATACGATTGACGCCCATATAGCACGTTTAAGCGCACGCCATATGCCCTTCCCTTTCCATAACACATTTATCACTGTTCCATGACAGATGTCCAATGCACCGCGCGTATCGACTAGAAGATCAATTCTACTCCACTTAGCGAATATATTTTGTAATTAAAAACAAAATGACACCAAAGCTTGCCGTCAGTCTCATTGCAAAGGATGGTCCATTACATTGCGCGGAAAGCTATTTTTCTATTCAGACCAGTGACAACACCAGCCTTGGCCAGTGTCGCTAGAAGAGAATGGTATGTGGTGACAATTCTGGACCAGTGACAATTCTGGATCACATACATCATGGTATGTGATCCAAAATTGTTTAGGTAAGTGTTCTGGCAATTTATTTTGTCTGTTTATATTATGAATAAATAAAGAGTGGCACACCGTAGACAACAAGCGGCAGGACATTTGAGCACAGACATGGGTATGAAGTGCGGTTACTGCCTAGCTTTGGCGCTGCTTGCAAATTATTTGCTATCTGGTCAATGTGGTGATGTAAATACAATCTAAGAAGCATGCCAAACCATGCATAATGACAATGAACCTTACGCATACATCACAGCCTCTCATGCACGCAGTAAGATATACAGGCAATCCGTTCCCTAAGTCCTAGCATGAGTCCGTACAAGGGTTCAATGGCAGAAACGTAAACTATTATACAAGTGGCATTTCACATAGCCGCTTGCGTAATATTTTGTTGACTGTCTTGGCATCAGCTGGCTTTTGATCACTAACGTTTCATTTACTGCAGGTCGTCGTGATAATTATGCTGTGGTCCAAAATGACCACATCATAAATTATGTGTGGGTCTGTGATGCCGTGGACTAATGGGTGCCATTCTGTCGTATTACTTTTAATCCTGGGTCTTCCAACAACGTGCCACTGTTTGCGGCAATTGGTGAGACAAATGAGTGTAATTACATCTATTTATTAGCCATAAAAATGCACACAAAACAGTGTTGACACTGGATCACTTGCTTCAACATGAACCATAAGAATAGAAATAATATGTATTATCAAAGGCTTTTATGCTAAGATAATCATTGTGAAAAGCGATAATGTGAACACATATATATTGCACAAACCGGTTTCGATATCACTTCATCAGTGTGCAAATATATAAATAAAACACACAAAATACAAAACGGAGACGAAATAGGTACAGCCCATAGCCGCTGGCTGTACCTATTTCGTCTCCGTTTTGTATTTTGTGTGTTTTATTTATATATTTGCACACTGATGAAGTGATATCGAAACCGGTTTGTGCAATATATATGTGTTAACATTATCGCTTTTCACAAACGTCAAACTGTCATACCACACTAAGATCATCAGTTACATTATTGGAAAAAGAGCGACAACGAGACACTATCCGGAATTGCTAACAATATATGTTTCATTGTTTAAATAGTTATTTTTCCATGCATTATCTGCAATCCACTGAGCGCTCGTGAATAGCCTCAAACAAGAGAAAAAAGAACGAAAATTGGACTGCGTAGTGCGCAACGCGTAGTCTTTTAGACTATCGTTTAAAAAAGCAGGCCTCGAAATGACGGCTGGAGGCTGCAGACTGCAAGGCGCCACACACTTCCGAGGCAATGCATTATGCAAAGGAGGAACCGAAAAAGCCAAACAGGTCTAGGCTGTGATGAAGTGTCGTCGCGGCAGCTCGAGGCATCGGCAGTTCAGATTTACACCTCTAGAGGTGCAGCGTGCGGTTCGAAATGATTTATTGACACGTATCAACTTCCTAAATATCATCAAATTCCATTCATGCTTTGTGATAAGCACATGTCATCTTATTACACAATTACCTTGTAACATAACATCATCAATTGAGTAGCTGCATTAAATGAATCAAAATTTAAAGGCATGCACGAAGATAAAAACCGAATAAAAAGCGGAATGGTAACCTTATATCATAGTCGTCACTTGCCAGGTCATCGACAGACCTACGCACAAAGCTCAGCTATCCGCCCAGTAAGCCCAACAATTTCAATATAACGTCTATCGCCTCCTAGGCATCCCAAACTCCTGCAGAAACAGTATCCAACATCCACACAGTTATCTCTGTTACATCCCGCCTGCTGACCGAGCGAGCCACCCGTCGCCACACGCTGCGGTCGGTCCGGCTGCGCAAGTTGGTCCGTCACCACAATATCACTCGAGGAATCGGCAGCGGTCGATGGCGGCAACTTTGGCCAGCTGCTGACAGCCCGTGGCGACCTGTCCCCGAGTGACTCACATAGAACTGACCCGGCGGGAGTGTTCCGCAGAACTGAGAGAGCTGTCCTACGCCACAGGTGCTCAGGATATTGCTTTGAGAGTGATCGGATTTGAGCTATCTTACGCTTACGCCGCTTACGTTGCATATACTTTTTATTAGATATTGTAGCTCATCAGAGGCAATTTCCGATTGATCCAGATTGATATTTTTCGAAAGCCTTTTAAAGAATAAACGAGGCACTTCCTAGTTCCTACAGACTATTTCACCGTCCGCCCATGCAAGGAAAAATACACGAATGCGCATTGTGAAAAATTGTTCTGCTGAATGCAAATCAAATGTTGCATTGTAGCTTTTTTAGAAGTTGTTATTTGATCTCGCCTTTGCTTTGAATAACATATTTTCCCTAGTGAATATATTCGTTGCCCTTCTAGCGATAAGGTCGCCTACAGTTCATTTGCACCGAACTGTCCCGAATTTAGCGCCTACTGCGTCCGTCCGTTGGCTGTCCGTGCAGCGGTGGGGAGGGACGGGTCTGTTTTGGACGACGTGTCGCAGTGGACGGAGTTGTGCGTGGCAGTCCGGTCCCTGGGGGAGGCGCGGCCCTGCCGGCTCGGTCAGCGGCTGACCTGCAGCCCGGGACGTGGTCGGTAGACAAAACAGCCCGCACACGCCACCGCAACGCCGCCATCGCCGTGGCAGCCGACCCAAAACCCCGCCGAGGTGGTTGGAACTAGCGCGCACAAGCTGTACGCCACTTCATGCGCTAAATTGTACGATTGTCATCGCTGCTGGCACCGCCACCGCCACACTGAAAACAAAATGACACAAAAAACGACTAAAAACGCACAGGCAGAGCGTGTTAACTAGGCTTTCTTGGGTACCCTGCATCATGCATTTTTTGACCCGTCGCAGACGTGTCAATTTACAAATGTGTTAACCCAGTCGTGTTGTGTCCTAAAACACAATATCATTGTGTCTTCAACACATAAGGCTTGTGTGAATACATTTGCAGAATACAAGGTAAATATGTTACTAAATTTAACACTAATCGCAAGTAAAAGAAGGAAACACGTGGTGATTATGTAGTTTGTTGCCGGGGCGCAGTTGAAGGGACTATGGCTTTGGCTGGACAGGCTGACTGCCAAAGCCGGGCCCCGAGTGGAATCGGGCGCTCGGGTGCGGTCAGGGCTGAGTACCCGGCCGGCCGACCCATACGGTCAGGGCGCGGTCAAGGCTGAGCACGCGGGCGGCCGACCCATACGCGAGCTGGAGTTGCGCCCGGTCGGCCACTTCAGAGCCGAAGGGTGAACGCGTCACGTGGACGGCCCAATCAGAGCGCCAAGTGACGAAGGGTGAACGCGTCACGTGGACGGCCCAATCAGAGCGCCAAGTGACGAAGCCCCAAATTGGAGGACTACTGTTCAAAACAGTTGTCCAGACAGCCGGGATAAACTTACGGCCTTTTCATTTGTTTTGATTTGGGGCATTTCGGCCGAAGAGACCATTGCATGCCCTAATTTCTAGTCTGTTTTACATAAGCAGTGTATAACTTGTTAATTACAACTTCTCGAATAAGCCTACATCTCGAAGGAAAGAGAAAAGAAGATCATGAACAGTGCGATCTGCGTCTCCGAGTATTGTTGCCAAAGTGAATGGAAGGCCATCGGTGTTACAGCTATCGATTAGTCGTTGTCGTTCTCTTTGGTAATTTGGACATTCGATGATGATATGTTGGACCGTGATAGAAGTGTGACATGTGTTGCATACTGGTCGATCATCCCGCGTGTATATATACTTGTGTGTTAAAAGTGTATGTCCTAGGCGCATACGTGCCAGGACCTTTTCCTCCTGCCTACTTTGCCTGTTTGAAGACTGCCACTCATTCACATCTAATTTAATGCGACGAAGTTGTGTTGCTCGTGTTGTTTCAGACCATTGTTTGTTCCATAATGCGAGAGTTTTTTGTCTTAAAGATGATTTAATGCATTGGTATTCAATGGAATGTTTGTTATGTGAGCAAGAGCGAGGGCATTTTTCGCATATTTGTCAGCTTGCGTGTTACCGTATATACCGCTGTGACCAGGAATCCAAATGTATTTGATTTGCACACCTTGTGTTGATAATGTGTGATGAATATTATATATGTGTATATGCAACGGCGATGATGGATATGTGCAACGAAGAGATTGGATAACCGAGCGGCAGTCAGTACATACCATTACTTTCTGCCATTCTTTCTGCTGTGCAATTTTCAGTGCCATCAACACTGCAT